ATTCTGTTAGAACTCAATGATTATTTTAATTATATTTTAGATTTTTTATTTTTAAAATAAGATGTTTATTCTGTATTTGATTATGTTTATCTGCAGTTAGTTACACGAATTCAGATATGAAAGAGTCTGGGCCGTGTCTCAGTCCCAGTGTGGCTGATCATCCTCTCGGACCAGCTACTGATCATCGCCTTGGTAAGCTATTACCTCACCAACTAGCTAATCAGAACTTGTACTTACGCACAATCTATTTGTAATTTTGAATTTTAAGTAATATACATCAATATACAGTACTTCATGTATAAAAAATTGTTTTTAAATTTTTTTGTCAAATGTTTATAATATAGGATGATGATACATCATTGTTTAAAAATATATCAAAATAAGACCCTGGGTCAACATAATATAATTTAGATAAATTACGTTATTAGTCCCTATGGTTAGTTGAAATTTTCTATTCTTGTCCTTATTATTTTGAAATTACGATTTTCTTCCATATTGGTTTATAATTCATTACTATTTTTGTTCTTATATTTAACAGTAATGTTTAATCTCAAGGATGAAAATAGAAATAAATTACAAACTATAGTAACAAAAATTGTAATTTTAAAACTTAAGGGATAAAATGAACAATTTTTAACAAACCACAAGACAACAACTTAATTTATGACGAAAATGTAAACGGTTCAAATAATAATAATAAAGCAAATTCATAGTTTAATACACCATTTTGATCAAGTGGCAAACCCACTTTCATTTCTTTGTCCACATATATATACACATAAATACATACATATATATATATATATATATATACATACATACATATACATATATATATATATATATATATATATATATATATAGATGCATGTATGTAGGTATCAAAACTAACACTTTAATTGGTTGAGATGAAATATGTGATGAAACATGAGACAGTCTCAAAATCCCAGCTGAAGGCAGGAGACCATGTATTTGCTCCTTGCTTGACATCAGAGGGTGACAATGGTCAGTTCTTCTATCAAATTACAACTCCCTCTCTCTCTCTCTCTCTCTCTCTCTCTCTCTCTCTATATATATATATATATATATATACACTTTCATATATAGTAACTTATTAATCATTAAAACACACACACATATATATATATATATATATGTGTATATATTTATATGCAGGCATCTTCATCGGGGGAGACAGAGTTATTTATGTTGTGGAACGAAAAGAGGGTGGCGGGTGTTTTGGCGCTCGTTGGTGTGCACCTTTTATGAGCACAACTAGCAGTGGTGGTGGCGACAGTGAAAAGAAGAAAAAGACGCATTGCGAGAAATCTTATTGTGGAGAGGAGAAAGTGGCGAGAAGTGGAGTGCGGTTGTGTTGCGTAGATTGCTTTATCAATGAAGAAGGCTTTCTACACCGATTCATATGTGAATCGGATGCTCCAAAACAAGTGGTAGAAAGAGCCACGTATCTCTATGAAAACGGGTGTTCCGAGCATAAAGGAACGAACGTTGGTACCAATTACGGTTTCGTAGAATACTGCAAGACTGGTTATGCAGCACCAGATAGTGCGACCATAAAAAAGAACAGAGAATCTGCAAGGAAAATGTTTAAATAACTAAAGAACTCGTTTGTAGGGTGGGGGTGTATGTGTTATCGATTGATCAAACAACTTTCTTTTTTAATATATTTATTATTGTTGTTGTTTTCGTTGTTGTTTGTAATTAGTTCGTAAATCGCTCCTACTTTCCTTCGTAAAAAGAAAATTTTCTCTATCACATAATACAGTTTTTATGTGGTTTTGAGAAAGGGGTAATGTTTTTGTTTTTAAATAAAATATAAATTTGAAGATATTATAAAATTTCGAAAATAAATAAAACAATATTACTATCAAATTAACTATTTAAATGTTCTTGTTTTTTGTGTAATTTCTTTAATTCAATTTTTAATTTATTTTTGATTTAATAATATAATTTTTATAAGGATAATGATTAAATATCTTGTTAGAACTCAATTATTATCTTAATTATATCTTAGATTTTTTATATTTAAAATAAAATATTTATCTTGTATTTGACTATGTTTATCTGCAGTTAGTTACACGAATTCAAATATGAAGCTTTAATAAGTTGTATTTACGCACAATTTATTTGTAATATTGAATTTTAAGTAATATATATCAATAAACAGTACTTCATGCATAAAAAATTGTTTTAAAACCCGAGTCTTAAGTATTTAAGGTAAAGGTGTTTACCGACCAAGAAAAAGCATTTCCTGCTCAAATTAATTTTTATTCTTTTAAGTAATAACTGCATGCATACATTTTTTTAAAACTCTTTGAACTTTATAAAACCAACCGATACATACATTCACATACAAAATTATCATTGGTCACACTGATATGATAAAATACTACATCAGTATCTTTATACAAAAAATATGCTATCGTTAAAATTGCAATAAATTATATTTTTTATTGCAATTTTGGTAACAAATTCTGACTCTCATTATAAAATTTTTTGGATCCGTCACTACTTGAGATTGATTGACTTGTTTACTGGCTCGAGTTCAAATCCGTGCTAACCTACACTTTTGGTTATATGATTTATTAATATATCTACATGTCCAGCTGGAAAAAAGTGTAGGTTAGCACAGTTTGCTTGAATTGGAACCTTTAATCGAGCTTTTAGACGTACTGAGTCAAATATTGGTGACAGATAGAAGCATTTAATTATTTGAAGTTGTAATAATTATTTCTTGATAATATTTTTTTATAATCAACTTGTTTCATAGATTATTTGATTCCAAAACAAAGCAGTGTTATCTAGAAGAAAAAAAAACTAATTAATGAACGACTTAGAATCATAAATAATCTAATCAAATATCCTTTTTAATATCCGTATCCAACCCATGTCCCAGAAGATTTTCTTTTTTCCGTCACAATCAAGAACGTGAACGTCATAGGATATGACGTGATAACGAATCTTGATGAATTTATGTAGGTTTTAGTGTAGTTCTTTTATTTAATTGTGTTTGAAGTTATGTTCATATGATCCGTATTATTTATATGTTTTGTAATTGAAACTCCCTCGATTATTATAATGGATATTTTTTTTTTAAATTCTAAATCCTAAAAATAACTTAAAAGTAAAATAATATCATAAGCAATTACAATATTATAATAAACAAAAGTAATATTTGTTGCGTCTAGTATTTTAATTAAAATACATTATTGTTATAAAATAAATTAAAATAAGACCCCGGACCAACATGTAATACAAAGTTGAGTCGGCCAAGGTCATAGTTTTATACACCAAGTTGGCAAACCCACTTTCATTTCTTCTTTCTCCATACATATATATATATATATATATATATATATATATATTAGATATACATACATATTATATATATACACACCAAGTTTCAAATTAATCCACTTTCATTTCTACTTTCTCCATACATATTATATATATATATATACACACACATATTATATATATGCATACATATACAAAATCATATGTGATTTTACATTAACGGCCAAAAAAGTGTGCGGATGACCCTATCGTCGCATGACAAGGTTGCATGGCAAGATCGCATGAATCACATGTGATTTTGTACGTTATGTTAATGTAAAATCACATATGATTATGTTATTTTCTTATTTTCTTAAATAAGTGTCATTCTCATATAAACTCAACTATATATATAAGGTACTCACACAATAAAGCGAGATACATCTCGATTTTAATGTTTTATTTTATTTATTTTTGTCTCAGTCGATGTTATAATATGGTTATAAGTAATTTTGAGAAAAACGATTATATTTTTATTTTTAATAAAATATAAATATGAATATATCATAAAATTTTGAAAAAAAAATATATATTGGTACTAAACTAACTACTTAAATCTTGGGAAAAGTCTAAAAAAAACTCAATGGACTTTACTGTTTGGAACGATTAAGTCCTTGGACAATTTTTTGGAACAAATAAATCATTGGACATTCTAGAACCTGTTAAATAAATCACCGGATATTACAAAACTTGTTAAATAACTCATTGAACAATTTTTTGGAACAAATAAATCCTTGGACATTCTGAAACCTGTTAAATAAGCCACCGGACATTACAAAACCTATTAAATAACTCCTTGGACTTTCTAAAATCTGTTAAATACATTTTGTTAGTGGAAAAAGTCCAAAAAAACCAATGAACTTTTATATTTTGAACGATCAAGTCCTAAATATACTTACATTTATAAAAAAAAACAAATATATCATTCTCGTTACTTTTCACAAAACATATAAAAGTTGTATCTAAAACATAATAATCTGCATACAAATTTTGGGCATAATTTTACCAAAAGTTAAACCAAAATATATATCAAAAGTTGAACCAAAATATGTAACAAAAGTTGCGTTAAGAAACAAATCCAACTCCGTTGTCATATCTGGTTCGAAGATCATCATAACCAGCATGATGATCACGGGAAGAATCACCATGGATGGAACCTGAAGCATTATTCAAGCTTCTACCTTGATGTTGTTCATGTTCATCATCATTACTCCAATGATTCCGATTTCTTTCTCCACCACCCGCCATAGCTATCCAATTGATTCTTATTGCCAGCTGCTTATCCAAACAAAAATCAGAATCTTAGTTGATGATGATGCTTATCTTGGCTTTTTAATTTCGCTATTTCTTTTTGTATTTTCTATAATTCTTCTTCCTTTACATGTTCATTTTCTAAGATTCTTTCCTTCTCAACCCATCAAAATTTCAACTTCTTTTTTTTTGTCTTTCAATTGCTTTTCCCCTTTTAGTTTCTCAGAAATCTCTGTTGTATATATATATATATATATATATATATATACATACATCTGTGTGTACGTAAAAACATTTTTATAATTTCCATTCTTGAAATTTCTATAGGAAGTGTCATTTTCTTCTACAAAGTCCAAAAACCAGAGTTGTAATCTTCATGTAAAAAAAGATTCTTCTATATTAAATAGACGTATCAATGTAAAATGTAATCATATGATGAACAATGTCGGAGCAAACCTAATAAGATCAAATTGCAGCGGGACCGGCGATAGTGATGGTGCAACAGCAGCGACCGGTGATGGGACGGTGGTGCGGCGGCAACGAGCGGAGACAGGGGCGACGACGGGGTGGTGTGGCGGCGACGAGGCTGGTGCAGCGGCGATGGGGGAGAGGGAGACGAGGCTTGTATATTTCTTTAATTTACTTTTTTTTATTTTTTATTTAATAATATAATTTTTTATAAATATAATAATTAACTGTTTTCTTATAACACTCAATGATTATCTTAATCATTGTTTAAAAATATATCAATATAAGACCCTCGGCCAACATGTAATCCAAGTTTGAAGTCGGTCAAGGTCAATGAACAAATATAATTTAGGTAAATTACGTTCTTAGTCCCTATGGTTAGTTGAAGTTTTCTATTTTTGTCCTTGTTATTTTCAAATTACGATTTTCTTTCCCATTGATTTATATAATTCATTACTATTTTTTCCCTTATGATTAAAAAGTTTAGATCTATTTTCGTACTTGTAATTTACACTTCATTTCTATTTTTAGCTCCATATACTTAAAAATAGTGTTTAGTAAAATAGAAATAAATTTCAAACCACAGTAACGAAAATTGTAATTTTAAAATTTGATGGAAAAAATCAACAATTTTTAACAAACCATTACAACAACAACAAACATAATTTATGACAAAAATTAAAAAGGTTAAATAATAATATATAAAGCAAATTAATAGTTTAATACACCATTTTGATCAAGTGGCAAACCCACTTTCATTTCTTTGTCCATATATATATATATATATATATATATGGGATCGATCAAATGCAAATCACTCAATTTGTACGAACCGTGCAAACCGCATTCAACCAATCATAATTTTTCATTTTGTTCATTTTTTTGTAATTATGAGAGGTTGATTAATCATTTTTATTGTG